ACCCCCTTCCTTGAAGTGTGACAGTGACGGCCTCAGTTCCGACTGTCTGTAGGACACATTGCACATTGATGGCACAAGGCCATCGAACCATCATGAGGCTGGGAGGAAGGGGCACACCTGATCGCTTACACATCCGCTTCTGCCGCGAGCTCGTTGTTCTGCACGCAAACTTGTTTCGAACGCTGAACCCTGTAACCCAGCGGGCGTCGCTCGCATCACAGATAAAACAGTCATCAATGCAAGGCAGCCAATCCTTGTCCGAAGTGATGGTGTAGGTGGAGAGTTTGGTCTGCACCCCTCCTACGGTGTTTTACAAAAAGCCTGTGAAGAAAACAGGGGATGCGCGGTCTTCCACGTATGACCAGAGGTCCACTTGTCCCAAGCACACCTTTCACCCTCGGGCACCCAGATCGCAGTGACTCTGGCTCGCGATGTGTGATGTTGGTTGGGGGTCGCAAAACACGGCAGCAGGCAGCGGCAGCGGGGCGGTAGGTGGCAGCAGCTGATAGTAGCCGCCTCCACATTGACCGAATCTTAGTGTCGAAGGTGGGAATTGTTTGGCGCACACCCTTGCAACCCACAATGGATAAAAGGCGAGAGCCTGGCCGACTTTGCACCGATTTCTTGTCTTGTTTGTACATCTGAGCACTATTTGATTTTGACGAGACCGGATCCACCCATTTCCGGCATCAGTGTCGACCCAGCGCTGTCCCTGTGCGCCTCCCCCGGTCGCACCCACGCCCGAAGTCTACACCTCGCCGTGTCCCACAAACACCCTTTGCCGCCATCCTCACCATCTATAATGTCTTGGTGAGTTCCGGCGTGCGCTGGGAAGTCGAAATGTAGGACTTCACAGTTGAGTTGTCCTGGATCCGGTGGTTGCATGGACGGGATCCGACTGTATCGACATCCTCAGGGTATGGTCTCACCGTCGACTTGGAGAAACATCTCGGATCTTCTCTCGTCGAAGACCATCCACGACCTTTTCACTCCACTCGATAGAGGTGCCCGGGCCATCTGACTCCTAGGTCACTCGTCGACAGCGACCCTCGTGTTGCCATGACTGAACGCCTAAGTCAGCCGTGAGTGTGATACTCTTATCGTGCAGTTGGGTTAAGGGAGGGGTGGACTGGGTCGCGTTGACATTCAGGCATAGGCGTCTCTCGCAATCTTCACCACCGGCCAACCCCCCCTTGGGGTTGCTATGACATGGAGGTCTACTCAAAGACTGCCCTCGCATCCACTCCTTCAATAGGGTGCCTGGGGCCAGGCCGAGACAGCTCCCCAAGCTGGGCAACCGGCTGCAGCCTCGGGACTGGGTGCCCACGGCCGAGGCTGCGATCCGGCGCCGTGACTGCCTGATGCGCTGAGCGGGAAGGGAATCACGGCCCGGGGAGCGCCAACACCGCATACATCAAAATTGGCTGGCACAAGCCGCCTCTGCCCCCCCTCCGAGGTGTGGCGATGTCGCTTGTTTGGGCTGGTGAGGAGTCTTGGCATGGCTGTGATCGTGGGGTGCGCGTCGTTGAGTCGACGGGCATGCATGCATGCAGTTGGGTATGTGCATGGGTTCGGAGCTGTAGAGGAGACGATGCAGTGCGAGGGACCTTGCTCACCCTCACACAAAACTTCGGCACCCCAGTGACAACGGCGAGCCAGCGCATCCAGGCCAAGGCACGCAACAGACCCCTTGTCCAATGGACGTTGACGTCGCGGCGGCGGATGATGCCCCCTCGACTTCGAGACCTCTTGCATCCGCGGGCCAGGTGATTGTGTTGAGTGGAATGTGATGGGTTATTTGATCGGTGTGCGACAGGCATGGCTGTGGCGGAGTGAGGATGTGATTCTTAAAGTTGGTATCTGCAACTTATAGGCGAATACACACAGCCCACCCCGTGTTTTCTCGCCCCTGTGTCGTAGGACTCTCAGACGCCCCCTGTGCCACTCGGCGTGGTCAACAAGCTGGACGATGCGGAGAAGAGGGATCAACAGTGGCAGAATGATGCCACGGTGAACGAGTGGCGGACGGCGCCCGGCGAGGCGGGCACGCTAGGCCGATTCGGGAAGGTGTGTGAGGACTTGGTGTGCCACTTTGGAGAAGGGGCTCCGGGGGCCACTGTAGTGTCCCCAAGCATGCGTGGCTCTACTGATCGAGACACCCAGACACACATAGTGACACCGTGTGCCCGCGCTATCACAAACTGTAGGTGCTCGGTGACTACGCCACAACCTCCATCAAGACGACCTGGAACGGCTTCCGGGACCTTCAGAAGAAGAAGAAGAAGAAGAAGATGAGGCAGCAGCAGCAGCGCGTGTTGGATGCGCTTCGACCGACAGTGGACGACGTCGTCGCAGTCGTCACCGAGTCGCGCACCGTCGGCGACCCGTTTGCCAACTTCCACACCATCCGTATGGTGGAGGAGTTTGAGCGGCGGAACCAGGCTGGCCGGGCGGATGCGGATGCGGCACTGCAACCACTTGACAATACTTTTTTTTACAGGTGGGCCTCGTGTGTTGACGATCAGAGAGGTTTGGGATGTGGGTGATTTGTAGGCACACCGGTGCTGTGGTTTCCTTGTTTGATAGAGGAAGGAGGGTCCCATGACTGCTCGTAGTGTCTGCTGGTTTGATCAGCAAGGCATGAAGCTGTCTGGTACACGTTGCCACAGACAGGTTGCAGCGGCATGCGCGGCAGAGCAGCTGCCAAACAACCACCCACCCATTTACCCACCAACCCACGGCGCAGATGCCTGACGCTCATTTGGCGACCTCGCGAGGCAGCTGGCGGAAGGGCGGGCACTGGGGCGAAGGCGGCGTTCTCGCCACTGGCCGACTCCGTCGCCCGCTTCCAGCAGACACTCGAGCGGGCTGGTGTCGACCTCTGGCCGCCGGACATGGAGTACATCAGCCCCCTTGTCCACGAGGCGGCGGGGGCCAAGGCTACGGCGACGGCCACCTACTAAAAGAGGGAGCTCCTCCGCCATCTCCAGCAGAACGCCAAGCTGGAGCTAGGGGTAAAGGGAAATTGGCCACGCCACTGCGCCCGCGCAGTGCTGTCCGTCAGCTTCGCAACCCCTCTGGCGCCGACAGAGGACCCGGTCGCCGCTCCCGACCAGGCAACCTCGACCCCAGCGATTGGCGCCAGCGCAGCTGCTGAGCCCGTCTTAGACATCGCGTCCGGCCTGCCGCCCCCGGCCCTGGCCCCCGGCGTCTCCACAGCTGCAGCGCCCGCCCCAGACGCCGCGCCCGACTAGACGCCCCCAGCCCCAGCCACCGGCAACGTCGCAGCGCCCCCCCCCGCGCGCCG